TTAATACCCTGCAAACTTTATTATTATTTTTTATTTGCTTTTAACATTTATTTATTTTTGAGAGACAGAGACAGAGCGTGAGCAGGGGAGGGGCAGAGAGAGAGGGAGACACAGAATCCAAAGCAAGTTCCAGGCTCCCAGCTGTCAGCACAGAGGCCAATGCGGGGCTCGAACTCATGCACCGTGAGATCATGACTTGAGCCGAAGTCGGACGCGTAACCAACTGAGCCACCCAGGCGCCCCGTCCTAACACCCTGCAAACTTTCGATGTGTGCAGCTTTTGTAAGTCAATTGCACCTCAGGAAACCGATGACTAAAATCCCAGGAAGCAAACACCCAACAACCTACCTAAAAGATCAAATCCATAAAAACAACACGGACTAGGGGTCCCACGACATGGGGGTCACACTCTCCCATTCTTTGTTTCATATCCAAATAACAGGTGTTTTTTTTTGTTTGTTTTTTTTTTTTATTGATCACAAACCCAGAAAACAGAGCTAAGCTAAACACAGCTAAGGTAACAAAAACGCCACACTCCCTCCCCACAAGATAACACAGTCAACGTCTTTAAGGCTTTTCCAGCAGATCCACCTGTCTCTTCTTTCCAGTTTGTTCTTTCTGCAGGGACACGTGGCAGGATAAAAGAGTTGGGATTAAGGAGGGAGATAAAGGTGATTTCGGTTTTATGCCTTTATTTTTATTTTTAAAGATTTATTTATTGGGGCGCCTCAGTGGTTTCAGTCGGTTGAGCATCTGACTTTGGCTCAGGTCATGGTCTCACGGTACGTGAGTTCAAGCCCGTGTCAGGCTCTGTGCTGACAGCTTGGAGCCTGGAGCCTTGGATTCTGTGCCTCCCTCTCTCTCTCTGCCCCTCTCCCGCTTACTCTCTGAGCAGGCTCAGTGCTACCAGTGCAGAGGCCGATGCAGGGCTCGAACCCACAAACCATGAGATCATGACCTGAGTTGAAACCAAAAAAGAGGTGCTTAACCGACTGAGCCACCCAGGCACCCCTGGTTTTACATTTAAAAAAAAAAAAAATTTTTTTAACGTTTATTCATTTCTGAGAGAGAGAGAGCACAAGCGGGGGAGGAGCAGAGACAGAAAGAGGGAGACACAGAATCCAAAGCAGGCTCCAGGCTCTGAGCTGTTAGCACAGAGCCCTACGTGGGACTGGAACTCATGGATCATAAGATCATGACCTGAGCTGAAGTCGGCCGCTTAACCGACTGAGCCACCCAGGCGCCCCCCCACTGTTGTAAACGTTTAAGGAGAGGATGTATTCATGTATTTCTTCTGTAATAAAAATTGAATTTTTTTTCATTTTTCTTTTAATGTTTGTTTATTTTTGAGAGAGACAGAGAGCGAGCACAAGCAGGGGAGGGGCAGAGAGAGAGAGAGAGAGAGGAGACACAGAATTCTAAGCAGGTTCCAGGCCCTGAGCTGTCAGCACAGAGCCCGATGTGAACTGTGAGATCATGACCTGAGCCGGGGTCGGATGCTTAACCAACTGAGCCACCCAATAAAAACTGAATTATAAAGAACCATCTTGGGGGCAGGACCCCTGGCTGGCTCAGTCGATGGAGACTAATCTTAGGGTTGTGCATTTCAGTCCCATGTTGGGGGTAGAATTTGCTTTAAAACAAAACAAAACAAAACAAAACAAAAAGAACTATCTTGGGACTAGTTTTCTTTATATTCACATACCCTCCTACCATATTTCTTAAATTCAAAATGTAATTGCCGATGGATGGGACTAATTTAGAAGACTGCAGACAGGTGTTAAAAGTGCAAGTCAACTGGGGCTCCCGGGCGGCTCAGTCAGTTAAACGTCGGACTTCGGCTCAGGTCATGGTCTTGCGGTTCGTGAGTTCGAGCCCCGCGTCGGGCCCTGTGCTGACAGCTTCAGAGCCTGGAGCCTGATTCTGTGTCTCCCTCTCATTCTGTTCCTCCCCTGCTTGCACCCTGTCTCTCTCTCTCTCTCAAAAAAAAAAAAATTAAGATTAAAAAAAAAATTAACAAGTGCAAGTCAATGTAATTATACATCTTAAATCTATTTCCGCTGGAAACGATGAGCAACCAAGAGACGGTGTCCACAGTATAAGACACAGAGACAGAAGGTGACTCTGTGTGAGGTCAACAGGCTTGAGGCATGTCTAAGTGTCCTTTTGTTTAGCATGTTTCTAGAAACTGTCACTTCAACGCGTAAAAGAGAACGACAAACCAGAGAAAACGACAAACTCAAAAACACTGTGCCATGTGAAAGAAGCCAGCCACGAAAAGTCACTTATGCTGCAGGACTCCACTTATAAAAAAAAATTTTTACTTTTGATAAAAAGAGAGAGAGAGAGAGAGAGAGAGAGAGAGAGGGAGGGAGGGACAGAGAAAATCCCAAGCAGGTCCTGTGCCGTCAGCACAGAGCCCGATGTGGGGCTTGATCCCACAAACCTTGAGATCATATCCTGAGCCGAAATCATGAGTCCGATGCTTCACCAACTGAGCCACCCAGGAGCCCCTTCATGGTGGTTTTAAGGGTATTTGCCTTAGAAGAACTTACCAGACTACACACTTATTTTACGTGGTTCTTTATATCCGTTTTCTTTTACGACAAAAGTGTTAAAATTCTTAGCTTCATAAAAAGGGAGCGACTACGGATGACGGGGCGCCCGGGGGGCTCAGTTGGCTAAGCGTCCGACTTTGACTCACGTCATGATCTCTTGGTTTGGTGGGTTCGAGCCCCCGCATCAGGCTCTGTGCGGTCAGCTCAGAACCTGCTTCGGATCCTCTGTCTTTCTCTCCCTGGCTCCCCCTCCGCCACTTGCGCACACACGCTTGTGTGCTCTCTCTCTCTCTCAAAAAAAAAATTTAAGAAAAAAAAAGGCAGCGAATCACAACTACGTAAGCTGGATAGGAAAACTTTTTGCTCTAAGCTGTACAGATGCCACAGAACAGGTTCTTAGGTTGAACCATTAAGGATTCATGGTGAGAAACTTCCAGAGATTCTGTCATGACACCACTTGGTTTAACTGCTCACGGTGTCGCTCACAGATGGGATAAACCGTCAACTCAACTGACCCCCTACCGTAGGCACGCAGAGGGATCCAACCCGCAGCTCAAGAACATTCCATGGATGCTGACCTCAGCCAGGACCGGCCGCCACCCGACCCTTCAGCGGACTCACCGTCCCTGTCGCTGGCCGATCGATCTGGATCTCCACCACCTCGCCTTCAATGATCTCGGTCTCCTCCCTGGGCAGAGAAAGGGCGTGATCAAGAGAGCCCAACGCTGGGGCCCTCAGGAATCGCTAACTCCCATGAGCCCTTGGGCACAGGACAAGCCGAAGAAGGCAAGGGTCATCCGAGGCCACCGGGAGCTGGCTTCTTGCCCTGCACCGGGTCCTGGGCTTACTTGATGCGAACCCCGATAGACCGCCGGAAGGCCTGCGTCAGCGCCTCTGTCTTGCTCATCTCCAGGGAGAAGATCTCGCTGCCCGCGATGGCTGTGAATGGGGTGTCAGGGCCCAGGGCCTGTGCCATGCCTGGGGAAGAGGTGGCCTGGTTAGGTGGGGGCAGCCTGGCACCAGGTCCCCAAAACCTACTCGGGGTCAACCCAGCTCTTCTCGCTCCTCGGGAAGGAGCGTAGTTGAGGTGGGCTCGGCGCTGGGGGTGGTCAGGGAGACGCAGAGGAAGCCAGTGACGACTTAGAGCCGTCGCGCTGCCCAGGGGGCCAACCTCCTGACCCTATAATCTGGCCAAGCCCCTCTCCCAATCTCCAGGATCTGTTTAGCCTCCAGGCTCAGGGGTAATGAGCAAGAGTAGAGGCCAAAAGAGGGCTGAAAGGGTAGTTAAGGGTGGGGGCTCAAGCCAGACCCGGGTTCGAGTCCTGGCTCCACCACGAGGCACGGGAACCACCACGAGGATGGGTCTCCTCTCCGGCTGGAGGACAGTGGGGCTGTTCTTACAGCCACTTCAAGCACCGAGCCACGTCTCACAGACAGGAAGTCACTGAACCTTTCTGACCAATGGGAGGCGGGAACCCTTCTTGGTCCCTTTTTCGTGGGCCGCACTTGGTGCCTGGACAGCCTGTTCCCTATTGTCTGTCCCAGGGACTCCGCGGCATCCTGCAAGTCTTAGCTGTGCTCCTGATTCATCTGGAAAGTCTCCCCTGCTCCCTCCTTAGGGCCAGGAGTCTCTTCTGTCCATCACAGCACACTGTGTCCCCAGAATGGAAACTCCCGAAAAGTCAAGGCTTCGGTCTTACTCATCTAAGTGTCCTCAGTGTCTGGCCCAGGGCCTGGACCCCCATTTTATTAAGGAAGCAATGGCCACATTCAAACACAAGAAATGTTTTAATGTCTCAGCGTGTTGCAGTGGAGACGTGTTGTGACCAGACGATTAAGCTCTAGTCAATAAGACAGAAGCAAAAGTGTGTGGGAGCCCAAAGGCAGCCGCTTAAAGGGAGTGACGTTTAAAGGGAGGGAAGTACACCCTCACTGCAGGTCCCCTTTCTCCTACATGGGAGCATGCGCACGAAGGCTGGAGCTTAGGCAACCCTCTTGGAACATGAGGTGACCCTGACATGGCAGCGAGTGCCTAAATGGCCTACATTCAGACTCTTCTATGTGAGAGAACAAACCAGAGAGTTTAAGACCTCGCCATTTTGGGTTGTCGGTTAAATGTGGCTGAACCCAAGCTTGATTTACACAGGAAGGATTATCTTCCTGTGTAAGAGACCAGAAAAGCTCCTGCCCCGAGAGGCCTCTCACCCATGGCGATGGCTGTCTTCCCCGTGCCCGGCTGGCCAGCGATGAGGACCGCCCGCCCGGCGATCTTCCCTTCCCGGATCATCTCCAGCACAACCCCAGCTGCCCGCCGGGCTGCGAGCTGCCCCACCATGCCCTGGGAAGCCTGTAGGGGGGGGTGGCGAGAATATACCAGGTTACCTCCTATTGGGCTGCCACCCCGTTTCCAGCCCCTCCTGCCTACTGACCTGAAAGGGCACGGTGTTAGCTAGGACTTGGGGAAAAGGGAAGAAAGCCTTTTCCGCCCCAATATCTTCAGAAAATTCAGACGCTAGGGGCACCTGCGTGGCTCCGTCAGTTAAGCGTCTGACTCTTGGTTTCGGCTCAGGTTATGATCTCACGGTTCTTGAGTTCAAGCCCTGTGCCCGGCTCTGTGTTGACAGCACGGAACCTGCTTGGGATTCTCTGTCTCCCACTGTCTCTGCCCTCTGCCCCTCCCCCCACAAATAAATAAACAGTAAGATAAAAAAAAATAAAGAAATTAAAAAAAAATCTCTACGTGTGGCTGAATTTTATCAGTAAGTAGCCAAAGTTCCGGGAGCTCCTAAGTCACCCCAGGGGCCTAGGTGGCCCTCCCCGCCCGAGGCCTCCGCGGATCAGCTTTCCCATCCCACTGCCCCCAACCCTACCTGCCGTGGCTCCAAGGCGTCGTCCAGCCCCAGGCCCCGGATGTGGGAGTGCGCGCCTGCGTTGGGGGAAAGAACCAGAAGACACGGTTACCAGCCGGCTCGTGGTGACGTGTGGCCTGAGGAAAAGGGCTCCTTCCCTCAGCCCTGGTTTCCTCCTTGGCCAAATGGGGGGCCCGAGTCTCCCCCTCACTGGGAGGATGGCTGGTGGTAAGTGCTCAATAAACTGGAGCTGCCCTTAGGATACGGCACAGCAGGACCAGAATCACCGAGACCTGGCTAACTACATCATCAGATCAGGAACTAACCGTGACAGCGAGCGGTCACAATTATTTTGTGTTTATAGCCTAATGGCCTCACAGGGTTCTTATTTCGTTCCATGTAACTCTGAGAAACAGTGAGTCCCAGCGATGATCACCCCGGAGTGCTTCTGGGGTGCAGTCACCGCCTCAGGCCCTCAACACGAACTTGAGGGAACCCAGAGACATTAAACTCCTTGCCCGAGATCACACGGCCAGTAAGAGGTAAAGACGTGGGATTTCAATGGTGCACACCAGACCCGGGCTGGGAAACTACAGCCTGGAGGCCAGTCACTTGTTTTTGTAAATCAAGTTTCACTGGGGGCGCCTGGGTGGCTCAGTCGGTTGAGCGTCCGACTTCAGCTCAGGTCATGATCTCACTGTCCGTGAGTTTGAGCCCTGCATCAGGCTCTGTGCTGACCGCTCAGAGCCTGGAGCCTGTTTCGGATTCTGTGTCTCCCTCTCTCTGACCCTCCCCTGTTCATGCTCTGTCTCTCTCTGTCTCAAAAAAATTAAAAAAAAAAAAAAAAAAGTTTCATTGGAACATGGCCACGCCCATTCACTTACATACTGCCTGTGACTGCTTCCACGTCGCAACAGAAGAACTGAATATTTTCCCCAGGGAAGAGATTTACTGTCTGGCCCTTTAAGAAAAGATTTGTTGACCCCAGCACTAGACCGTAAGCACCTTGAGGGCAGCTTGTGTCAACTGGGTCCTCAGCTCTAATAGCGCCTGGGCCTTGGACGCTGAACACAGTGTCAGCACCTGCACGTTACATGCATGTGCTCGTGGAATCTTTTATTGAGTGATGAGGTTAACTACCTTTGCTCCATTTTGCAGATAAGGACACCGAGGCAGAGAGCAACTAGCCTCTTGCAACGGAAGTGGTCCCAGCAGCGGGCCTCCAGAACCCACGTTCATGGCCACTAGGGCCTTTGCTTCTAGGGCCTCTCTTGTAGGCACTGAGTGAACGGACATGAAAGAATGAGAATAGTCTTGGGGCGCCTGGGTGGCTCAGTCGGTTAAGCATCCAGCTTCGGCTCAGGTCGTGATCTCACAGTTCATGAGTTCGAGTCCTGCGTCCAGCTCTATACTGACAGCTCAGAGCCTGGAGCCTGCTTCGGATTCTGTGTCTCCCTCTCTCTCTGCCCCTCCCCCCGCCAAAATAAATACAAGTTAAAAGAATGAGTACAGCCTCCTCCGTGCAGGTAAAGCACTTTTTGGTGGCTGCACCCTGCGGGCCCCACCGCACCCCAGCTTCGTGCTCCTGCCTTCACAGCTTCCTCGGTGCGTGAGCCAGGACCAATGGCTTGGCTGCTCTGAGTCTCGGTTTCCTCAGCTAAAAATGGGATAAGGGTCGCCACACACCCTCTCCGGGGATAGCGAGAGAATTCGGCAGGAACTCACGCGTGCGCTGGTTAGCTGTGGAGCGCCCACTCTGCCGAGGCCGCTGCTGGGGACACAGCCAGAAACGAGCCAGAGCTGGTCCCTGCCCTCGCGGAACTAATGGCACAGCGTGGGAGGGGTGCACGGGCCGACCCCAGCAAGCGCTCAGCAAACAACCGTTTTTACGATTTCCTAGCAAAACGTTGGTACGCCCAGGAGCCTAACCGGGCTAGGCCCCCACGTGCCTTGCTGAGCCCGCTCTGCAACTCGGGATTCTCTGCATCATCAGACAGGGGGACAGGGTGGGAGGCAGGCCACCCCCCTCTCAGGGTTCCTGGGCAGGGCTCTGTTGAAGGCAGGCAGGGTCTAGGTCCTTGTTCGTGACCCACGCTCACTCACCGATACGTTCAATCCTCGTCACGTCTCGGATCTCTGGGACCTTGGTTGTGGCTGTCTGGGAGCGGAGGAAGACACATCAGAAGTGCGCCCGTGGTCCCCGTTTTCGCCAGCTCCTCTGTCCCTCCCGCCCACGGCCTGGGAGGAAGTCCTTTTCGTGCCTCTTCCCCGTGGGCAGGCCAAGAGCCCACACACCTGTCACTCTCATCCTTCTCGTTGGTCACCAACTAAATGCTGGTTGACTGACCACAGTACACCGAGTTCCAGAAAGACAAGGACCGTGTCTGTCTCGTTCACACCTCTGTCCCCGGGGCCTCAGCCCGTTGTTGGGTGCCCAGGAATTATGTGGTTAAGAAAGCCCCCCTCGCTCTCCCACAACCCTGATAACAGACACGAACGCGGAATAGCAAGCTGGACGTGGCCTGGCCCCCGACTGCCCAGCCCCCTGTGCCACGCTGCCTGGATCCTTGTCACTAGGCCTTTGCACGTGCACATCCCAGAGTCCTTTGCCCAGGCCCGACTAGTTCTGGGGTCTCCGGATGTCCGGACAGAACAAAAGGTCTCCTCTGGGAGCCTGCTATCTCCCTGTGCGATCTCACACATAGGAGGGAGACTGTCAGATCAATGTTCTCGGCTCCAATAGACGGGACTCCCATGAAGGGTACAGCCCACATCTCGCTTGTTCACTTGGGGTGCAGTGTTTGCGGGGTGGGTGAATGATGTGCTGTACGGAAATGCTGAGCTCATTGAACAAGCAAGTACCAAGTCCTCTGGGATCGCCATCTCTCCGAAAAGAGGAGCCGGCCACCATCTCTTGTCCTATAGCGGAGAGAGAGGAGTAGATACCTCCCCGGGACAATTCGAGAACGTCCAGAAGATTCACACAAGTGTCCAGCACAGAGCTGGACGCGGGACTCGAACACACAAGAGGCTCTCTGTAAATAGGCCTTATCCACAAGAGCCACATACGCTTTTGTAAAGCTTACTTATTTACTTGGGAAAACCCAAAATGTCCGTCAACAGATGCATGGATAAACAAAACGTGGTACGTCCACGCTTGGAATAGCATTCAGCCATAAAAAGAAAGTTCTGGGGTGCCTGGGTGGATCAGTCAGTGGAGCGTCTGACTCTTGATGTTGGCCTAGGTCATGATCTCACGGTTCGTGATTTCAAGCCCCACGTCGGGCTCTGTGCTGGCAGCATGGAGCCTGCTTGGGACTCTCTCTCTCTCTCTCTCTCTGTGTCCCTCCCCTGCTCTTTCTCTCTCTCTCAAAATGAATAATCTTAAAAAAAATGAAAA